TTTACGCAAATCGAGAACATCTCGTCGGCCGGCGCGATTCTTACAGACGTCGATCCCTTTCACGCATGAACTACGCGCCTGTGTGTCACACAACGCAATTTCACGTGCGCGAGCATTTCGCCGAGTACATTTTTTGTGTTCCTACCTGAACCTCTCATCGAATTCCCTTTTGCGCGAAAAAATATCGACGATGTATTCCTACGTTTCACTTTAATTAGCCCGCACTCGCGTGCCTTCCGTGTCGATCGGAACGCAACCTACTCGCGATCGAGATCTTCGTCGAGGAAATCGCCCGGCAGAGAGAGAGAGAGAGAGAAAGAGAGAGAGAGAGAGAGAGAGAGAGAGAGAGAGAGAGAGAGAGAGAGAGAGAGAGGGGATACCTCGATTTTCCACGACAAAATTTTTCCACCAGTCGTCCGAGCAGTCGTTAAAGAAACATGCCGCATGACCGAAAGGACTCGCGCTCCCTCGAACCATTAGCTCGCGGCGGCGCGTGGCTACCGCGAGGAAAGAAGGGTTCAACATGACGAGGGCGCTGAAAATCGGACGTCCGGCTGTGCTCTCTTTCTCTCTCTCTCTCTCTCTCTCTCTCTCTCTCTCTCTCTCTCTCTCTCTCCAGCGTCCAGCCAGTGTGGCGCGGCGTGGAACGCTGTGCGCGCGGCCATAATAATAATTTTTACAAGCCCGCGTGTAATCAAGGCTGCGCGTTACACATGTTCCGTCCGCGGGCACCCCCTACCCACGGCACGTACGACCCCCCTCGCCGGCGCCGTAGGGGTGGTCGCGGCACGTGGTAGGGTCGGCTATTCGCGAGAGGGGGCGCAGAGAGGAGAAACGGGGAAGGGAGAGACTTCGGGTTCCAGTGGGGTGGCTCGTGGATGGCGAGGAGAGGAGAGATCGTCGGTGGAACCGAGACGGAACACGTCCGCTGGGTGCGATGCGGTGGTGTGCGAGTGGGAAAACGAGGGTTGCTAGAGCAGGACGGACGAAGAGAGGGGCCGTGTGAGAAGGGGCGGAGGGCGGAGGAGGCGGCGTAGTATTCACGCGGCACGGTTGCTGGTGCTGCTGCTGCTGGCTGTCTGGCTGCTGCTGCTGCTGCTGCTGCTGTTGTTGCTGCTTCTGCTGGCGCCCCGGTCCGCCGTTCTTCGTGTATTGTTGTCCAATCGAGCGTACCGACGAACCGGTTTTCAAGCCGGACCACGCGCGCACCAATATCCTCGTGTCCTACGGTATAGCACGAGCTGTTCTTTTTTTTTTTCCTTTTTTCTTTCCTTTTTTTTTTCTTTTTTTGAGCCGGTGGTCATTGAACAACGGGATGTTATTGGTCGATCGCCGTGACATATGCTCGCGTGCACTGGGATCGGAGATATCTGGTGAATGCTGTTTATATATCGTTGCTGATTTTATCGGCGACCCGATGACGGCGATCGTAATTGACGCCGATCGTCTATAATCCGCATCGACCGTTGGAATCGTTGTAGATCCTCAGCTGGTGTATTCGTTGTCGTCGTCGTCGTCGTCGTCGTCGTCTTGTGAGGATCGACACGAGAATGCGATCCCTCGGACGACGTTCGTTCTGTCGCATTGGTGGTGCACTGGATTGCTGTACTCGATGTGATCCATTCCATTTACTTTCCTTTGGTTGCCGTTTTCATAGTGTGTGAACATAACGATAACCACAGTCTTCCTATATAATAATTGTAGCGCACGGCCGAGCGTTCGATCGAGTCTATAATAATTCTTCGCAATATCCGCGCGATAATTGCTCGTTTTCGCTGCCACGTGTTCGTGCCTAGATTCGAAGATCGGCGTGGTCGGGCAGTGTCATCATCGATTGATTGTGGTCTCCTGTAAAACCCATCAAGCCTTGATGGGATTGTCACGTGTTGGTGGGACGTTTGTGAGCTCGAGAGTCATCGTGGAGAGCGAAGAGTGTCGTGCTGGAATTGACTAGTCAGAAGCCGCGATGAACGATGGTTCTTTCGATCGATCGCAATTCGCGCGGCGCTGTGCCGAAAGAACGCATTCGATTTGCGAGAAGAGCGGATTTTTCATTTCGGACTGCCAAACAGTAAGTGAGTAGAGCTATCCCAGCGATCTCCTGACTTTGAATGATTTCACGAATTTTTAGGTCTATTGAGATTTAGTGTGCCCCGCGTGCGCGTCGCTTCGCGAGTTGATTTGTCGAGGATTTGTCGCAAATTGTCAATTCTGCGCCGGGGAAGCATGTTTTATTTCGCACAAAGCAAGCGGTAAGGCGCGCGTAATTTTGTCCCGTGACATATTCTAATTCAGTTAATTCGTTATGTGCGCGGACGCGACTGCAGCAAATAGTGCACGTGGGCGACGGGGGCGGACGCCATCCATGTTTTATTTTCTCGAACATGAGACATTAGTAACTCGCGGTAACAATTATATCGATAGTGCCGCTCATTAATTAACGTCGTTCAATGCGTCGGCTATATCGAGTCGTGTCCTGTAACAGTCGTAACCTGACACGGTTGTTCTATCTCTATGAATAGAAACGTGCGGGACAATTGATCGACTCTTTCGGCCTGCCGGTGAAATAATGAAGCATCGACGCGTGCGGTGTTAATTTATCTAAAGTTGTCGGCACACGCTTCGCGATCGCTGTCCTCACACCCGCCAATGAGAGGTTTATTTCTCTCACCATCCAAGCGATCGCTTTTATTCAACAACCAATGACAAATTGTCTTGAAGAGAGAGAGAGAGAGAGAGAGAGAGAGAGAGAGAGAGAAAAGGACACGAAGCAATCGAAAAAGTAAAAAAAGAAAAGAAAACACACGACAGAATCGCCAGAAGAAGACGTAAAAAATCGCTTGCATCGCACCGGCGTTGCGATCATCACGCTGCCGAATGTGTGCCGTCTTCGCGCGGACTCCCCGCGGACGCGTAGCGCGCATCGGTCGCGACTTTTGCGCGAAACGTGTGAGGGTAGGGGAGGGGCGGACTCGAGCGCGCGGGCAAAGAAAGCGCCGGTAGAGGTACCGCGGCGTACCTGGCTCATCGCCGGGGCCCGGCAGTTGATCGGAGCGTGACGAGCGGTAATTGAATGTAGGTATGGCATTTGCATTGACAAGCTCCAACAGAGATAATTCGAATCTCGTCGAACGCAACGGTCCACACGGGCGTTAGGTCGTTTGTCAATACGACGGCGGCCGTCCAGTTTCCACGTTTCCAGCGGTATCGCTGTTTGTCACCGTCTCGTCGGCGATCGTTCGTCGCTGAATACCGGCGCATACTTCTGCCGCGACCGGCCGAGAGCGCGTTTCGTTTCGCGTTCCGTTTCCGCGAGCCACGCCGCGCTATTAAACGTCACCATCGACGAGCCGCTGGAATATATTATTACGCCGAATGTCATCCCCAAATCATTATTCGTCTCTGTCTCTCCCTCTTTCTTTTTGCGGCACGTGGGAGAGATGTATTTGAGGAAGGAAATTATTGCTCGAATCGACACGAAGCACGGAGACACATCTATTTCCGCGTTCCTATTTAGTTGGAATTTTCCTGGCCTGTCCAATAGAGATACATATATATATATATATTACTGACTGACGAGAATTTTCGTAGCGAGAAAATGCGTTGGGGCGGGAAAATTTCCCGCTCTGATTAAAAAAAAAGGAAAAAAAAAATGAAAGGAAGCGAAACAATGTGAAAAATTGTGCATCTCCTTCGATCGTGGAAGGACGACGACGTGGTAAGACGCGTCGCGCCTCGGTGCGTGCGCGAGCGCGTCGGACGAATGCGAAAAAATCTCAAATCTGTTGATTTTATACAACTGGATCCGCACATATTCGTAGAACCTCGAGTGTTTGCCTGCAGGCCCGCGATCGGTTGGATATCGTCAGGATATATTCGCGCAGGAAATGGGTAGTTCCATTGTTTGCACATTCGTACAAACAGTGCAACTGCGAGGATGCGCCGGGACCTCTGTTTGATTTTCGAAAGTGAAGCTTCATTGTACGAGATACCGGGCGCGCGCGCGCGCGCGCGCGCGCTCGCTCGCGAGTGTTCCGATGCATATGAAACAACGACGCGTTTCGAGGAAAAAACGCAGATGTCGGCCGGCTGGCAGGAACGATCGATCCGCGGGCGAGCGTTGAAATGCCGATGGTTGAAATCGAGCGAGCGATATTTTCGCCAAGTTTAACGCACACGCTTCGTTGCCGAATGCCGGAAGTTCCGCTCGCATCCGAATTTGAACAATACAACGTTTGACGTCATTAATTCCGCGCGAACTTTTGCTCGGTCGAGCCATCGGAAAGCATCGAGGTGCGTTGCAAGGTGGCGCGAATTGCGAGTTACGCACGCGAAGGATTGAAAAAAAGTGCACGCGCTCTCGCCCGCTTGCGTGCGCGCGCTGGCGCGCGCGCGTGTACGAGCGGTCGGAGCTGAAACCGATCAAATCGGGGTTCGATAAATCGATCGAAGTCCCGGCTCCCCGCCACACCAATGTCCGGCATACGCGCGCTAGCCATGCTGCTGCTGCAAAAGGGTCGCGAGGGGAAAGAGAGAACGTGCGAGAGAACGAGAGTGCCGCAGAGAAAGAGCGAGGACGTCGCGAGAGGGAGACGTCGGGTCCGGTGGGAGATAAAGCGATAAAGAGCAGCGTGCGCGCGAGAGAAAGAGGTTACGAGAGGCGGAATGAGGGACGGAAAGAGAGCGAGAGAGAGAGAGAGAGCGCGAGAGAGAGAGAGAGAGAGAGAGCGAGAGTGAACGGCTGAGAGAGAGAGAGAGCGCGAGAGAGAGAGAGAGAGAGAGAGAGAGAGAGAGAGAGAGACAGAGAGAGAGAGAGAGACAGAGACACAGACAGATCGAGTGAGAGGGAGACCAAGTGAGCGGGTGTGGGAGGGAGCGAGAAACAGAGAGAGAGAGAGAGAGAGAGAGAGAGAGAATGCCAGGATAGGGAAGGAAGGGTGGAAGGAGTGGGGTGGCACAGGGGTGTGAGAGAGGAACCGGGAAAGGGGAAAGGGATGCTGCGTGTGTTGGCATGGACCAGTGCGTCAACGGCTGTTGCCTCACACGAACCGCCGAAATTATAGTTAGTGACCCCCCAACGGATACTGCGAAATATACTCTCGCTGGCGTCGCCGTAGCGAGACGGAACTGCCACTTTCATAGCTCTCGCCGGGGACGAAGATGATCCGAGGGCGCCGCTAACGAGCCGCCGAAGGGGTCCTTCGGGATCATCTAAGGGGGTACCCCTACGTCGTAGATAATTCTCCGGGCTCCTCTCTCGCCGAGGCACGAGATATCGAGAGGCGGCGGGGGTTCATTCGAGGCTGCTGATAGAGCTCGTTCGAGTGAAGTGCGCACGAGGATGACGGTGTAGAGCCGCGCGGTGATGAAAACATTCGTTCTTCGAGCCGTGATCGGACTGCGTCCAAGAGTGCGTGATCATGCGGGAGTTTCAGTGTCGAGCGACGACGAACGTGTGATACCTTGTGGCTCTCGATAATCGAAAGAGAGAGAGAGAGAGAAAGAGAGAGAGAGAGAGAGAGAGAGAGAGAACGCGAGTGAAGGAAGATTTTGAGAAAGAGGATATATGTATATACCTTTGACTTCCCGACTTGCCGACGCGATCGTTCGTCTTGTGGAAAGACAGCTTCTGGGAAACTGCGGGTTTTCAACGTCATTCACCGAGGTACTTATCCGTATGTTAAGTGGAGGTCTTCGGAGGCCTCTTCTCGCAGCTAGAGCTGCACCCCGTCGACTTTTCACTGAAGAATTCTTCCTATTGAGCTCATCGACTCCGCTCTCGGCGGAGAGCTCCGTCGAACGCTCGAACGGATCACGTCGCATCGCGCCGAATCTGCTCGTACGATTCCTCACGAGGTTCGCGGAACTGGAAAAAATAATGCATCGGCTTGTATCGCGATCCCGCCGGAAGACGGTAAACAGAACGAGTTTCGTAAGAGATTTGAATGCGAAGTTAAGCGAGAGTCTTAGCCATCGCGTCGTTCTTCCAGAGCGTTCTCCCGATAGCGGGGAGCATTTTCGCGGGATTATTTGCCCCGCGCGCCTCCGACCATTTAGTTTTGTAATAGGAGAAATGTCGAGCTCGCAGCGGCTGTTTTCCGCCGCGGCATTTCGAATAATGCGCGACACGCTCGGCCGCACGCACACATCAATCGAAGCAATCGATTGTCATTTACACGCCAAATATAATTAGCACGATAAAATTGCGACGGTTCGGGGCGAGGCGGCGGACAGGGAGAGAGAATGAGCGAGAGAGAGAGAGAGAGGAGCGAGCGAGTGTTGTACTACGAGGCTGCTCTCGCATGGAGACGAGTGCGAGCGACGAGCGAATTAATAGGACGTGATTACTCGCGATTTTACGCGACGAGCGCAATCGCCTTGTGAATAGATCGTGCTGGTGATCCTCGCTGCGACCTTGATCAACATCATCTTCGTCTTATTGTGATTACACGTATCGGCCGGCGCGCGGCTCTCGGAGATCACGAGACCATCATTGACAGGAGGCAACGTGGTAACGTAGCCACGTGCAGTTTGACACGCGGTCGTACGTGCGTAGGGGTTGGGCATTCGTGTGGGGGGTGCCTACCGGCGGGCGTTCTTTTTCCCCTATTTTTTCCGTCCCCACCATCGTGCCGGTCTGCCCCTCCTGGAACCACCTGGATCCGGCGTGTCAGCCCCGGTGACGTGCGCAAAAATTACTGAATGAACGGTGACGTCACGAACCAGCCGCGTGAAAAGTGTGCGAGTCGTTGCTGTCCGTGTCAACCGTTTTCACCCCCTTTCGTTTCTCTTCGCGCGCTACCCGCGTTCAGGGCCGCCCCCGCCCGCTTTTCGTGTCCGTCACCAAAGTGTCGTCGCGAGGGTCGGAGACAACTCGGTTAAAAGGGCTTCGGTCGCGAGATAACGGCACGTAGAAGATTCCGTTAAACGGATTAAGGCCAATACACCGGGGCCGACGTTGATCAGCGACGGCCGCGGCGAGGGTGTGCCGTCGCCTGCCGGAGGGATTTCTCCCTTCGTCAAAGCGATCTCTTTCGATTTTTTGCCAGTCGACGCGATCTCTCACAACGCCTCCCGTCTTACGTACTTACGGAGACTTAATTAACAAGTCCCTCATTTATATATACATATATAAATAAATTATAGGAAATGAAATTTCCCGTGAATTTACCCGTAACACGCATCGCTGACGGAGAGTCTGCTTGATCTTGTTTCAGGTAGCCACGATGTGTAACGCAACTGCGATGTTAGCAACTAAAATTAGAAGAATCGTAGAGCAAGAATAGAAGGATAAAAGAGAAATTGTCCGAAAGGCTGATACTATGTCGAACGCCATGCAGACTTCCGCAGATATCAAGAGCGGAGGAACACATAGCTCGCCGTCGGCGAGCTCGCAGTGCGATGCTGCATGACTCCATGGGAGTGCCCGAGAAGAATCCTCACCTCAAGCCGAACGTTCGTCTCACCGCCAACGTCAAGAAGGAAAGCTAATAGGATCGACGACTCGCCCATAAGCCACTTTCGTCTCGGGACTCGGGAAAAGGATCCGCAGCTGCGCCAAGGATGTCAGGCCGTTGAGCCTGGTCTCAGAGGCTACGCGCTCTCGAAGGATGCTCACGAGACACAGTTGGTTCAGCGACTGAACCGAATGGAAGGATGTTCCATCCGGCGTTCTGACTGCCTATGGATATATTCGGCCGTTGCAACGGCGGCGGCAGCGGAAGCACGGTAGCCGGAAGCGGTGCCGGCCCGGTGAGGACGTCCAGCAACGAGTCCGCTGGTGCTGGTGGCGGCACGTCGAGCGGTACCAGCGAGAGCGGTAGCGCGAGCGGCAGGATGCAGCTGACAGGAGCCTCGGCTCCTGGCGCGGCCGCCTCGCCGGAGTCGGGCGTTTCTCCGTTGACCGACGCCTACACCAAGATGACCAGCGACATCCTCGCCGAGAGGACTCTGGGCGACTTCGTCAGTGAGCATCCCGGCGAGCTGGTCAGAACAGGTAACTCATCGATGCTTTTGGACCAACAACAATGTTCTTTCAGAAAGTGAAACGATAGGTAGTGAGAGATTGAGAGTCTTGGCCGGTAATCATTCGATCTTTGTTTCTTTCTGATCTGAGTTTTACGTGTTCAGAATCAGCGTTAGGAGACGCTCGTTTCTTACAATTTACTTCAATTTTGTAATTTAGTGTCAGATATGAAGTATAGATTCAATGTAAATCGCACGTTAGCTTCTTGATACTCGGTATCTAGCGTCTAACCATGTCTGTGGGTGGGTGATTGATGTTGGGCCCAGGGTCGCCGCACTTGGTCTGCACCGTCTTGCCCGCGCATTGGAGGTCCAACAAGACCCTGCCGGTAGCATTTAAGGTCGTGGCTCTCGGCGAGGTGGGCGACGGCACGCTGGTGACCGTTCGCGCTGGCAACGACGAGAACTGCTGCGCCGAGCTCAGAAATTCGACGGCTCTGATGAAGAACCAGGTCGCCAAGTTCAACGACTTGAGGTTCGTCGGCAGAAGCGGCAGAGGTGAGTCTCGCTCCCTCCTTCCCTCCCTCTCTAATACGTTGCATACGTTGTCGCTCTCCCGTCGGCTAAGACTTCGTTGCCCACGGGAATCTCTCTTGAACGACTCGGCTCGGAATGACGAACGGGCCAGGTGTCGGACGCGGCATTTCCCTTGCTCCACTTTCTTCTTCATTCATAAAACTCCAAAGTTTCTCCCTGGTCCTCGTGGAGCGTGTCGCCCTTCGCGTTTTACGCCGGAAGAAAGCGACCGAGTCGAGAAGGGGCGAGGCGACGGCGAAGAACCCCCTCGAAGAAATCGCGCGTGCCGCGTAGTAAGGGTAGGTCGCGGACGTCTTGAGACAACCCCCCGTTTTTCCTCGGCCCGTCGTGGAAAAGTCTCGTCTCCGGCGCGGGTTCCCGGAGGTTGGCTCTTGGCGCGGGCAGGGGTGGATCCGGCAAGACGCCTTGGGGTGGGTAATGGCTTTTATTTGTCCGCGCCGCGACCTTCTCTCTCTCTCTCTCTCTCTCTCTCTCTCTCTCTCTCTCTCTCTCTCTCTCTCTCTCTCTCTCTCTCTCTCTCTCTCTCTCTCTCTCTCTCTCTCTCTCTCTCTCTCTCCTTTGCCGCCACCCGGCTTCTCGCGTCGGCGAAAGGGCGAAACGACGAGGGACGAGAGCGACGGAGCGTCGCTCGGAGGAGCATCGTCGACGCCCGGGAAGCATCCAGGGGCGGGTGATATTAATTGAGGTTTCAGTTGAGTTTTAATTAACGTTATTAGAGCCGCTATTTCGTCTAACTGCGTCTTTTGAACTCGCGCCGCGCGCGAGTCTGGATTAGCGCAACTTAAGGTAGCCGCGCCCGACCCACTTGTAACGGTATCAATAAAGTTGTTTGACTTACTTAACGTCTGGTTGCGAGCGGACACTGCGTTCGGCATCGACTTTTCATGTTGATGTTACAATCGGCGTTGACACACGCGAATACGATAGGGAGGAAGAAAAACAGCGGAGACGACAGCGACACTTCTCTCGAAGGCGCACGGGGTCGTTGTTATATATTTTTCGTCCTGCTGGTAAAGGCGAGGCTAATCGCGCGCGAGAATCAGGATACTCGCAAATTCTCCAGCCGAGGAGGCGAGGAACTCTCCCCCGGGGTTCACGGGAACGCGTCAGTCATTTGTCTGGGATTAGCTCTCAATTGTTTTCGCCGAGCGCGGAATTAACATAAGCTAGGATGAAGAATGTAAGAGAAGTGTCTCTCTCTCGTCAGGATTCCTAACGGCTCTCCCTGGCTCCTTGAATATTCCCTGGAAACCGATGTGCGCCGAACTCCCGCGAATTCTTAATGATCCTCTCGTTTGTCGAGCGTGGAAATATTCGCACGTACGGAATCGTGAGAGAGGAGGATTTTGTCCTTCCGATTCGCAGGAAGATTAGAAATTCCCTTCAGAGCTGCTGTGCTGCCTCCCCTTCTCGTTTTCCTTCCACTTTTCCGCGCCCGGCGCGTTTAATTAATCCGCGTGAGAAAGGAGAGTACAAAGAGAAAGAGAAAAACTACACACGCGCTTAAAATACACGGGAAATCTCGGTTGGGGGGGGGGGGGGGATTACGTACGTATCCCCCGCGCGATCGACAGAAATAAGACGTCTCGCCCGGTATTACCGTCGCGATAAATTTAAAGGATCGTTAAGCGCGCCGCGCCGCGCCGACACCGTGCTTTTGTCTTCGCCTAAAACCGCTTTTAGCCCGGACAAGGTTGAGCGTACTGCCACGATAGTCGAGAGCTTTGCAATATCGATGATAAGCCGTAACCCCCTTCCCGCACGTTCGACCGTAATGCCTGCTCCATCACTGCAAAGTCTACCCTGAAGGTACCGGATTGTTCCCTTCGTCCCTAAGCCCTTTAACGAGATAGATCATTTGCGCGCTTATAGTTCCGACCCGTAGCAGCCGGGGGTATCCTTCGACTTTGCCGCCGCGAATAAACCTCCGCGGGAACGTCGCCAATCTTACCAAGTTGCTTTTCTACAAAGCGCAGCTTCACCCGCGAACCTATTAATCATTGTCCTTGTAATATACAACACCGACAGGAGAGACCGGGAGGGTGGGGGAATGAGAGAGCAACGTTTACGGTATAAATAGCGGCGTAATAAATACCTCACCTAAAAGTTCGTCGAGCCACGTTTGACAGGTGGATAACCACCGCGCGTGTTCGCGATGGAGACTCTGTCGCGATGAAATCTCACGTAAGGCTCACGTCGAACGATCCTCCATCTCGCGGATTAAACTTTCGATCGCGATCGGCAAGATTTATTTGCGCGCGGTATAAACAGGCGGCGCGATGATGAGAATTGATGGTACGTGCGGGCGATCCGTCGCCTCTTGTGTGCACGCGCAATAAAAATCTATGCGAAATACGAATATCGAGGATCGAACGAACGGGACACGCGTTCACCCGCGCGCGCGCGAGAGAGAGAGAGAGAGAGAGAGAGAGAGGTGTTAATTTATCGTCCGTAACGCGCGAGGCTCGTTTCACCGGACGAAAGAAAAACGGCCAGTCGCTCGGCGATGACGGTGGCAGTTTCTGACCGTAATCAATTCGTTATCAGGCTGCAATTGCGCATTTGCGTTTCGTTCGGCGAAAATTGAAATTAATTAATTGGCCCGACAGCGCGCAGCCGACAGCCGTACAACGCCGGGACACGTGTATGCACGCGTAGCTCCACACGCGCCCGCAGACGGCCGTGCTCTGCTAACGAGCATAATCAGCGAATGGTACGGGAGGAGTACGACGAGTGTCCCCCCGACTTCGCATCTCTTTTTCCTCGACCCCGCGATTTCGACGACGATATCACGCTGCTCTTCAACATGATTTGTGATCTTTATCTTGTCTTTCTTTCTTTCTTTCTTTCGACTATTTGTGCGATATCTCCGAGAACAACACGTTCATCCAGCCGATTCCAGGTTACGGTCGAGAGCGCGAAGGTAAGAAGGACCACCGGCTCGGCCGGATCGGGCAACAAAGTGGCGTTGAGGGTTCGTTCGGGCGGGTTAACAAGGCGAGCGTTTAAAAGATACGTAAGGGCGGCGGGAGTTCGGACGACCTTTAATGGCTGCACGGCGACTGGCACCGAGGGTGATACCCGTGTACCTACGTGTACCTACCTAACTGGAACCACCGACTCCGTCGGTGGAGGTGAAAAGGTTGGCTGGCAGGCCAGGCAGGCAGGCAGGCAGGCAGGCAGGGTGAGGGCACACGGCTGAGGATGGCGTGACTCGCAGCCAAACCGAGGGGAATCCCCGCTGGAAAACGAAAAGCTCGCGTGGCGAACCGCCGTGTGGCCACGCTCGACACTCGCCATTATTTCTCCGATGCTCGCCCGCTCCGCCTTTCCGGCTGCACACTCGTTTTTTCCCCGCCATCGATCATCTTACGTCACGCCGCGAAACTTTTTGCCGTCTCTATCGACGCAGTCCGTGTCTCGGGGGGCGGCTGGTAGACTCCTCCAGGTCGCGGTGGTCGAGCTCCACGCGGTGGCGATCGATTATCGCGGCTCCGCCGCGGAAAACGTATCTAATGGGTCCGATAGAAAAATACGGTAATGGCCGGGGCTCCTCGAAAGGGTAACGCGAGCGTAGTAACGCATTAGCAGGAAGGAACACGTTTAGGGGCGAATATAAATAACGTAATGTGTTATCTTTCATTTTGCAAACTGGCGGCGGATAAAAGCGCACTACCTTGCAGCATTATCGTATCTAATTTCAAGAAAACACGCGATGTACATTTATTGCGCAAGAGAGCGCGCGATATGTGGGTTAGTAAGATGATCATTATACTTCCGCCCCTTGGTACAGCGAGAGAGAGAGAGAGACAGAGACAGAGAGAGAGAGAGAGAGAGAGAGAGGGAGAGAGAGAGAGGGAAAGGAAGAGGGGAAAGAGGATATCGCATTGTCGGACAAATAAAATGTGCGACAAGGAAGAAGAACCATATCCGCGCCACGCGCGTCGGCTGGACTATGAGTACGTATAATGGGTTGATATGAAAGAAAAGGAGAGAGAGAGAGAGAGAGGGGGGGGGAGGGGAGAAGAGAAGGGGGCGAGCAAAAATTGCGGTGACTTCTGCGCCCAACGTTATCACGCGTGCAATTTTTGCACAGCGGGGACTTTTCGCGTTGCACGTTCTCGCTTTTTCGCGCGCTTTATCGCGTGCTTGCGTGGTCGAATCGATAGCGCCGCCGCCGGCGGCGGTAGCGGCGGCTCGCCGCGAGTTTTCGCGGCGGAGTTTCGACGCTTAAACCTCGCGGGATGAAATTGCGGTGCACCCTCGCACGCGCGCGCGCGCGTCGCGTTCATTCGCTCGCTCGTTCGCTCGCTCGTTCATTCGTTTATTCGTTCATTCATTCGTTCGTTCGTTTGTTCATTCGCTCGCATGCTCGTTCATCTGTTCGTTCATTTGTTCACTCGTTCGTCCGTTCGTTCGTTCGCTCACTCGCTCGTTCATCCGTTCGTCCGTCCGTTCGTTCGTTCGTTCGTTCGTTCGTTCGTTCGTTCGTTCGTTCATTTTATTTGTTCTTTTATTTATTTCAATTGTTCGTTTTTTCGTTCGTCCATCCGTACACGCTCGCTCGCCCGCTCGTTCGCTCGCTTTTTCACGACATTATTTCGCGCGTAACCAAGGCTTTTTAGCATCACGCGATCTCTGCCACCCCCGTCTGCCACCCACCCTTCTCGAACGACCACCCTGTTCCCTTAACTCGGCCGCGCTGGCTGGCCACCGTCACCGTCGACGACGCCCTCGATACATTACCGACGTGTAATTCGGTTACCGCGGAGTTTCGCCCGGCTAACCGCGTTTGCGAACTTTCGACGCCAGCTGAATAGGCGCGTCCACGAATCGACGCGTCGCGGGACAGGAGGCCGACGTTAAAAACGCCCCCTACGTATATTGTCCTCCTCGTTTTTGGAAATTTAATTCCCCGGCATCAAGCCCCAATAGTATGCGATCACGCGGGCCTTGAAACGATAAGAAAAAAAAGAAAAGGAGAACCGTGTGCGGCGGGGACGACAGGTGTCTCGATAGTGTTAACGCTGTAAATGGAAAAAAAAACAACGGTACGATAAAACCGATTGGAATATCGCAGTGGTTAGGGTGGAACAACGGCTCGACGGCCGTAACACGCAAGTCGTCTGGTTTGTTGCAGGCAAGAGCTTCACCTTAACGATAACGGTGTCGACGACGCCGCCTCAAGTCGCCACCTACAGCAAAGCCATCAAAGTGACGGTGGACGGGCCGCGCGAACCGCGATCCAAGACCAGTGAGTATCACTGTAAGCATTGCTATTCTCATTTATATATATTATATATAATTTATTATCATTCTTACATTAGTCGATAAGAGAGTGTGGTAGCTACTTTTCTCTCCGAAGCGGCACCGAACACGATCGGATCACAGCCGCGTTGTGACCGGCTTGGCGGCTTCACTGAGACGCGTCCCCCGCGCGCGCGCGCGCGCGATTTCTCGCGCGAGACAGGAACGGCCGTATTTTGCATTTTCGGAAATTTCGGCGTGGGGGTGCGCTCGCGAGCGCGCGCGGAACACACGAGCTACCGGGAATCTCCCGAAACGATCGTAATGCCTAACGAACGAGCGGCATGGCACCGGAGGCAGTAAAAGCCGCAAGTTCGAAATGGCCCCAGCGTGCGGCTTCGCGCTGGTCGGCCGTTACCTCCGAGGCTAAGTTTCGCGCAATTGCCATTATTTATAACCGCGGGGGTACTGGGCGCCATAACATTGACAAAGAGCTGCGGGCGTTGCCCGCGGAGAGAGAGAGAGGTGTATCGCGGCGCTTTAGCCAAAACGCAGACGACGCCTACAAACTTCGCGGATATCCGGCCGCGAGAACTCCTCCGCGCGAGCTACTGCCGCCGAGACATACAATTACCGGGATTCTCCCCGTTATTTCGGTAGGTCGCAGTCGACGGTAGGTAGTCGTCGACGTTGTCTTCCGCGGGACGTGGTGGCAAGGGGACGCGAAGCGTGTCTCTTTCTCCGTTATTCTCTCGCTCCTCTCTCTCTCTCTCTCTCTCTCTCTGCCCTGCCCCCCCCCTCTTTCTCACCCCTTGTTAGTTACGTAACCTACCACGAATACGTATTGTGCGCCCTCGAAAATTTAGTCCCGGGCGCGCCAATTTGCGGCGTCGCGCGACGAACGTGCGCGCGATTTTCTTCGGTTTCGCAGTCCAAAGTTAGACACTCGACGGAGGAGAAGCGCACTCGCGGGTGGAAAACGCTGCGGAAAAGTTTGGGTGGGTAGGTTTTCCCCCCCCCTTCGGAAACCTCCTTCGAACGCGAGCCGCGTATAAATTCCGCCAGGAGATTTTAGTCGCACGCCGCCGCACGCCCGCGATCTATCTACGATGAAGCTTGCCACGAGGCATTAGATGTTAGGACGCTTAATGTTAATACGCGTAATAGGGATCCCGTGTCGTCGCTGAAGGCGCACCAAAAATATCCGATAGCTTTAATATATCAAGGCGGTCTCTGGGTAGCACGGCATAAGTTTGGTACCTTGGGAAATTGCGACCACATCCGCCGGCTTGGCCGCATCTGCGGACCACCCACGAAACTTCCGTCATAAATCCAAAATATGAAAACGCGAAATTTCGGTGTACCGCTCGGAGACGCGCATCCAAGCAAAACACTGCGTGACATTTGAGAGAGAAGTAATTCCTCTTGCGATATTAACGTTATACTAATTAATCGCCAACTCGCGCGAGGGAGCGAAACATTTTTTCTCCGTTTCATTTCCGAATTATGGACGAGCGTTGCTGCTGCGCGTCTTCTTCTCTGTGCTGTCAATTTCAGACTTGAGGTAGTTAATTCCGTCAGACACGTCACGTTGAACTTTTTCGAGCGACGAAGAAGAAAGAGAGAGAGAGAGGGAGAGAGAGAGCGAGAGAGAGAGAGAGAGAGAGAGAGAGAGAGAGAGAGAGAGAGAGAGAGAGAGAAAGAGAAGAAAAAAGAAAAACGGGTATAAAATTTTACGGATCGCGTTATGGTAATGCAAGAACATCGAAAGTAAGCATTCGTCAAGTCGGCGCTTTGAGTCTTCTATGAAAACAAACCGTTTGTTAGATCGGACCAATGGCGCGACAATTTCGAGGGTTGCGGCGCGAGATGAAAGGCCTCCTGGGTGGTCCTTGTGCGCTTCTTTCGGACTCGCGCGACCCTCGCGTGTCTTTATCTCTCCTTTAACGCGGACTTTGATGGATCCACCATTACGCTTTCACGCGTGGCGCACGTTTACTTTTTCGTACTCTTCCGAGTCAAAATAATTTTTAAAAGCACCAGGAAAAAACAGCCGGCTGCGCACTTTCCTTCAGCGACGCGTTTTAATTAGCAGTTTCGTAGCAGTCTCACGCATCGGGCATGTCTCGCCGACCCTTTGACGCACGCGCACACACACACACACACACACGAACGAACGTATGCGTGTGCTTCCGTCCGAAACGGAGAAACGGTCCCCACCTACAAATCGCGCGTTCTTGCATCCGGCGATCGACGAGCGAGAACGAACGAATGAATCTTACGTAAGGCAACGCCGGTCGAATACCTCCGGAGGGTTGTAATTAATTAAACAAGCAATTCATTACACATTCTACCCTCGTCTGGTAGCCGAAGGTGGCCGCCGCTGCCGCCGCCGCCGCCGCCACCGCCGCCGCCGCCGCCGCTGCCGCGGAAAGGCTGCGGGGCCAAGGAAATTGATTGAGGGAAGTTTAGCTCGGGTTCCGGGATGTTACTCCGCGAAGACTCGCCCGTGTTGGGTGCCGGGGGTCCTCTCGCTGAACCAGTCCCCCGCGCGATGCGAACGTCTTCGACAAACGAAACGCGGTCCTCGGCGAGCCCGAAAAGATCGAAAATGGATGCCGCGCCGCCATCCAGTCGCGCGACTAGTAGAGGAGCCGATTTCAGGACGCGGCTTGAGTAGCAGCGCGACCGCGTGGATGTTGGCGGGACAGGGCGAGCGGGCGGGCGGGCGGAAGGAAGGGAAGGAGGGAAAGAGCGGGGTTGGCGACGGAACGAAATGAGGATCTGTCGTTGCCAGCTGCTAACTCTCGAGAAATTCCCTGGCAGTCACGACGCGTAAAGAGGGTGTCCAATGAAATCGATAGCCGCGACTTGCCGGGGACTTACGACTCCGTCCAATCGCCAACCTCGTCCCGCACTCCGCGAAAGAATAAATCAGAAAAAATGTTGATGCCGATCAGGCCGAAGAGTGGCTGAGATGCGCTTGTAGAGACGACTTGTAGAGAATGGTCGAGCTTGAGACGGACGGAGACAGTCTGCGAAAATGCGCACCAGCCCCCATCATCGGTTGTTGGACCGCGACCGAGCAGGTGGGCGGCGGGCCTCGCTTTGAAAATCGGCCAACGGCCACAACGGACTGACTTGACGCGAGCGGAGACGAGAGGGAGAACGCGGCCTCAGAGCGTCCTGAGCGATTTCGGACGGGCCAACGATCGTCCGCGCGCATCCACATTCGGAGAGGGTCGCTCGCCGTCTAATGAAATACTGCGAAGAACGGCGCGCGGCGCGCCGGGCTCAAAGGGTTAGGGTGGCGTGATAAATTCGTGGGTCGAGCGGCATAATTTATTAAATCTATCAAGCCGCTGCGGGCCGTTTCGGCGAAACTGCCGTGTCTCGAGGAACAAATCCACGAATTTCGAACGCGCCGATCGCGCGTTCCGGTTTCGCGTGGCGTGTCTCCATCTCTCACCCGCGACCCTTACCCCTTCGCTGCGATCTCGCGTCGGAGGCGCGCCGAGAGGGGCCTCAGCCCGAGAATCGACTTCAGCCCCCGGGCGAAATGTGAATCATCCTCTCTCGCTCTCGCACTGGCGCGCGCTCGTGAAATAAAAGGCGTCCCACCTAAGGAACCTGCACGACCTATAGAATTTTCTGTGCCGAGCTCCTCCCGGGTTCTGCGGCGTGCTCGAATCGCCGGTCGTTTAACAGGATCTCGTTAGTCTCTCGGTACCCGTCGGTATTCCGCCGTCGCGCCCCCATTGTGTCCCCGGATCGAGCGTACCCTATTCAGCAAACCGGCGGGAATTTCGGGTTGCCGAGTTAGAATTAGGGCTTCGATTGGATTATCAGGACGGTGGGAGAGTCCACCGTTTCTCCCTTTCCGCCCTGCGTCGCGACCCTCCGTCGGTCTCTCTGGCCTCTCCGGTGCCTTGCACGTTCGGATCGTTGCCTTTAGGGGAAGGGAACGAACCTGCACGTAGAGTAGCGGCAGCAGCGCGCGCGGCTGTCTGTGCGGCGACCTCTAGCCAGGGGACAGCCGGATAGGACGTCCGCCTGTTGGGACGTCTTTAATTGGGTTGGCGACACCGTCGCAGGGAAATAAAATGTATCGGTGCCTCTCTCTCTCTCTCTCTCTCTCTCTCTCTCTCTCTCTCTCTCTCTCTCTCTCTCTCTCTCTCTCTCTCTCTCTCTCTCTCTCTTTCTCTCTCGTGTATGTCTCCCTCTCTCGTTGGTCCTCCGCCCCCGGCTGCCGAAGGGACGGCGGCGGCCACGGTGTTCGGTTCCGGTATCGTTCCGTTTGTCGTTTCGATAGATAAAAGACGCGGCAATTGGCGGCGGAGAGAGAGAAAGAGAGAGAGAGAGAGAGAGAGAGAGAGAGAGAGAGAGCGGATGGACGGAGGAAGAAAAAAGAAAGAAAAAAGTAAAAAGAAGAGAAATGTGAATGCGCGTACACGGTGTATTTTCGCCCGGTTTTCGCGACATCGTGTAGAGTATATCTGCGCAGCGCAGTCACGAGCGACGGATTTGCCTGGTGATTTATGCGTAAATAAAATGCTCGGCAGCGCTGCCGGCTGCTGGCTCGTCGACGTCGGCGTGTTTGGCTCTCGCGTTGGTAATCGGAGGAGAATGACGATAAATGAAACGAACGATTGATGTCCGCACCGGAGGTCCAGTGGGCAGGCGCACGGTTGATCGCAGTGCTGTCTCTTTTAGGGCAGCAACAACAATTTCACGCCTTCGCATTCGCCTCGCAACGAGGCGGCCCGTTCTTCGCCTCGCCTCTGGTGGATCCGCTGCAACCTCTGCCGAATCCGTTGCAACCGTTACCGAATCCGCTGCAGCCGAGGGATCCGTTGTCTTCCTTTAGACACGCGATGCCTGGCAATTGTCAGAGTAAGTAATTGCCCGAGCAATCCCCGCCCCCCCCCCCTCCTGCTCCAGCATGATCGTAATCCTCGTTGATTGCGCTCGCACGACTCAGCTTTGAGCAGCAACCCGTTCTCAAACAGCGCTCGCTCTGTATGTGTGTGTGCGCATGTGTGTCCTTTTCTTTTTTTCGAGCGGTCGAACAGTCGATGGATTTTTCTTGCAGTAGCGATCGGCGTCAGAGCGGCGTCGCGCGCACATTTCTCTCGGTGTCGGATGACAGATATTTAGCGGAGAAAGGCGGAAAGTGAGACACGTGAATCCGTACAAAGGAGTCACTTGCTGCCGTGTATCGCGGCTGGATATCTCCCGCCGGCAGAGTTGCGTGAAATTTACATAATTTTTGTCATCGAGCGGATGATTTGGCTTCCGCCGCGCGCGCGAGTTCGGGAATATTTCCAACCAGACAAGCTACCGGTCTGAGTACAGAAGCGCAGCTTTTGGGTAGGCTCGTCGGTAGCTAGCTCCTCGGCTTCAGAGGCGGAAACCGCAAGCCTGTTCAAAGCTAGATTAAATATTATATTAAAGGGGTTGCCACGGAAGCGCGTCCCAGTCGGTTGGCTCTCTGTTTTGGGGGCGCGCAGCTTCACCTTCCCTTCGCGTTCATAACGTGGATTCGCGCGAGTCAGCGCGCAAAGTCAGCGTTGTCAGCGTAATTTCGAGAAAATGTTGCTCGCCTAGTTTTATTAAAAAAAAAAAGAAAAAAGAAAAAAGAGGAAAAAAAGGAGGGACAAAAGAAAGGAGAGGAAAAAGGGAAGCCTTCGATCTCGTTGATTAATATCGTATCGCGCTGATCGGCACGATCAAAGCCTGATGGCGCGCGACGATTCGTGCGCGCGCGGGCGGTACTTGCACGATAAAATTTTCAATACTTTTCTCGGGCGTGTATCGATAAACGGTTCCGCCGGCGCGCGCAAGAAGAGACGAGGAAAAAAAAGCTTAAACAATAATTCGAGATCAGCCGTTTTAATGAGTTACCTCAGACGTGAGGGCTGACTGCTCCGCTGCTAAATTTCCCGATAAAATACGAAGCACGCTGAATATTTCCTTTATTAACTTTTTTCCCTCACCGAGCATCCGGTCGTCCGATAATACGCGTACGCGATCATATTATTCTCATACTATACGGCTTGACGGGCGGTTTCGATTTCGAGAGACACCCTGCGCCGCGCGCGCGCGATTACTTCTCCTTTTTAATGAAATCGCGAAAATTCGGGCGGTGCCGTGTACAGTATCGCGCGATTAATTATTTCCCTTCATGTCTGTGTTTAACCTGCAAGCGCGTGTCGCGTCGTCGTCGCGCCCGGCGAAATAAGACGTTCGCTCGCAGATTATTCGCCGGAAGCAATTACGTGGCTCTCATCGTGGAGAGAGAACGAGAGACGGACCAAGAGGATCTGAGAGAGAGAGAGAGAGAGAGAGAGAGAGAGAGAGAGAGAGAGAGAGAGAGAGAGAGAGAGAGAGAAGGGAAGAGAGGGAGACGAAATAAACTCGCGAGGATTCAATCCGGTATTCGAATCCCGCAGCGATCCTGGAATACTTCGGACAGACTCGCGCAACTTTCGGTGATTCTCCATAAAAAGGCAGGCTTCTCTCTTTGGACCGCAAGGAATCCGGTGGTGCCGAAGGACGTGAAAGCACCCGACGGGTAGCAGTATTTAGGGTTAGCTCTCTCGTGACGACGGTCCAGTGGCGCTCGCCGAGGCGAGCTTGGTTATTTGAGTTGGCCCCAGCTACGCGGGGGGATGACCAACCCTTTGATCTCGATGTACCCCTCCGTCCGTCCCCCTCCGCCGCCCGTTCCGTGTCCGCCCGCGTCCCTCTCGTGGACCGAGCTCTCGTCCTTTCTGCATTCAACCCCCGTGACTCATTGGAAAATCTATCGGGGATGCTGCCTATACCCCGCAAAAATACATCCGCCAAGGGGCGCGCGTTGGACCGCCGCCGCCGCCGCCGTCGCCGCCGTCGCCGTCGTCGTTGCTGCCGCCGCCGCCGCCGCCGCCGATGCATCTCGCCAAGTGATTCGAATTGGCATATAATCCGGCAGAAATTTCCCCGTCTCGCCTTCTCCTCCTTCCCCCTGTTGTTTCGCCCGATCGCCAGAGAAATATTATTTATCTTTTTCGCTGGAGCGCACGACACGCGCCGCTGCTACCGTTGTTGTCGTCCGATGTGGATGTTATCGATATTTTTATATTAGCGTGCTTTGTGTTATTTACATAGTCGGGGTAGGACTTGTGTGTGCTCTCTCTCTCTCTCTCTCTCTCTCTGCTAATTGTTCTTTCGTTCGTCGATTGCTTTTCCGATCAGCGACCTGCTCTCTGACGCTTCTTCCGTTCGCACTCGCCGCGCTCTCGTACCACCGCGCTACCCCACCCGCTACCGTCTCATCTCGCGAACGTTGCTCTCCCTCCCCGTGTGCCGTTCTTCCACGTGTGGTTTCTCCACGGGGCGCAGGAAGACGTGCCAACGGACGATTTCTTTAGATATGTCCCAGTTCGGCCTGACAGCGAGCAATTCTTGGGGTTACGGCAGCACGGCCGGCTACGCCGGCTACCTTCCGGGTCCCTTGTCGTCGTGCGCCGCACAGGCGTCATTTCCACCCCCGCCGCCACCCCCTCCGCCACCTCCGCCGTCGTCTACGTTGGCGTCCTTCGCGGGTACGGCCTCCATGAGCACACCGACGGCACCGGACTCGACGGCGGGCTCGGCCGTCACATCCGGCACCGGAACGGGCTCCACGCCGCAGCAGGACGCCTTCTCCGCGGTCTCCTCTCGTAAGTCCAGCTTGCTGTGCACGTTTGTCGTCGTCGAGAATTCGCTGTGGAACGCCGGCTGTGGAACGAACCAACCATGGGGTATGTTGCACTGGGGTACTTGGACTCGTTGTAATCGACACCGTTGATTGTGAAAGCGGAAGCCGCTAATCACCATGTGCTCGCGGAGTATCACGTCTCATGCACTCTCGTCGGGATTGCGTTCATTGGATTATGATCGTCGTGTAACGGAGGAAGAGATAAGACAGGGGAAACCGAAGCAGATTCGTTGGTGTATTTGTTGTGAGGGAAACAAGTGGAGAAAGAATCATCAAATATTTTAGAACATGCTTATGTTTACATTCAGAAAGAACATGGTACCTTTTCTGTTGTAAAAACAAAGAACATTGCCCAATTCCTTCTCCAGTTTCACCCACAACACAAGAAACGCGCGAAGGAGGAGACTCTGCGAGAAACTCGATTCGCGATCGTTGTCTCCCGACCGCTGTCTTCGTGTATTACTCGCAGTTTTCAGTAAATCCGCTCGCGACACTCTCTGAATATGGGCTATGCCTCATGGTTGGAAACCTAGCAGAGTCGGTAAAGACCCAAGAATCAGGACTCTCGTGAACGAAGACACGTCACAACGTGCGACTAGCCTGTTGCCGGCGAACTGAACGTAGCTTCTCTTACGCGGAATGTCACAGTTGTGCCGGACACCACGACACCGGGCCAGTCCGATCCGTTGGACCCGCTGAGCAGCCTCATGTCCGGCGGTTCGAGCCAGTCCAGGTACCAGGACTACGTGTCGCCCCGCTCTCTGTCCACCGACTCCAGCACGACCGAGAGCCCGGTGCACGAAGAGCAAGGCTTCGGGCAGAATTACGGCAATTACTTCCCGACGCCGGGCGTGCTGCCTAGCATCCTGTACTCGCAGCTGTACGGGAATCAGTTCCAGAATTCGGAGAGCGCGGAGCAGAGGGCCGTCGCGGACAGCTGCAGCGTAAGGCAAGAGGAGGTCAGACCGGACAACAACGTCTGGAGACCGTACTGAGAAGCGGAAGCGTGCGTTCACTCGCGGAACGAGCGGTCGACCGTTGGACTACTCGCTCGAGCGTCTCTCCGTCGGTCTCCTGCGGGGTGGTAGAACGCGCGTGCGGAGGGACACGCTTAAGCGAATCGCTCTCTTCAGGGTTCTATCGGGTCGCCGTGAGCCGTACCCGCCGATCCGGCGATTTGGTGATTGTGTTGCTGACCGTGTGGCTCTCCTCCCGAAGACCGTCGCGTGGACTACGTCGATCCTCTGAGGACAAACTAGCACTATATTAGTGGGCATTAATAACTCCGACGCTCAATCCGGATAAAGAACTCGCGGCGAGTCCGTTCGCCGAGAAGTACCGTCTCCCGGGAAGCCCCCGGGGGGGATTGCAATTCTTCTTTCACCGGTTGTGTCTCGCGCGTGTCAACGAATCCTTAGACGAGTGAATGAGCGAGGAGGAGTTGTAATTAAGTGAGAACGGGTTCCGTGTACGTACGTGAGAGAGAGAGAGAGAGAGAGAGAGAGAGAGAGAGAGAGAGAGAGAGAGAAGAATGAACGAGTGCGGGTGTGAAAGTGATTACGACGACGACGACGACGACGACGACGACGACGACGATGACGACGACGATAATAATGATATCGACGGGATGTGTATATACGTGTACATAGCTAGATCATTGTCGTTTCATCGAATCATTATCCGTCGCTGTTACAAACGATGCGACGACGCACTAATTTATTTCATCGATTACGTTTTCATAGTATAATTGCGAATGAGTGCTGCGGGATCGTGCAATATCGTCGAGGCTGACGTGGATGTATCAGCTTCTTTTCTCTGTACATACACACGATATATCTTCCACGTTGCGCGTTCAGTTTCCGTTCGACCCGTTCGCGTTTTCCTCAGACAACAATAGCAGCAGCAGCAACAACAACAACAACTTTCGGACAGAAGAAATCCGGTTCCGCGTTTTTGGCGAGATATTCGCAGCCGACCCTCGATTATCTCGGGAAATCGCCTGATTCGTGAAAGGCTGTCACGTGCGGTCACGTTCGGGTCAAGCCGACGATAAAATCGAATGGGATTCGATTCATGCGCGCGCGCGTGTGTGTGTGCGCGTGCGAGGGGAGGAAGTCTCCCGTCGCCGCGTGAAAATGTCGCCGCGGGGAGCGTGAGGGCGACGAAAAGCTCGCAAGTATTCAACGAACGAACGAACGAACGAACGAACGAACGAACGAACGAACGAACGAACGAACGAACGAACGAACGAACGAACGAACGAACGAACGAACAAACGAACGAACGAACGTGTGGTCGTACCGGCATCGAAGACCTTACATCGAAATTACCGCGAAAGAAACGAAAGCTCGTGAAGCGACTCGCCAAGTGATTCTCGCGGGAAGCACCGCGTCGCGCCGCGCCGAGCCGCGCCGGCGAGACTTATCCGTTTTTGTAAGCCGGCGACGAGCAGCCTGCGTTTCCAAAAAATGATTTCCGATATACATATCTACCGACCTATTGTTATCGTAGTTTTTGACCGAGTCGAAGTAAAAGTGTATTTCAAAATATGATCCATGTGACTTCTCTTCAATCACCCGCGCCGTGCGCGCTCATACCGTTCCCCGATCCGTTTTCTATCCTTGGATACGCACGAATTTTTAAAAGTCACATCCTTAGCGTATACTCTGAATTGCATTTTCTTTTTTCTTTTCTCGAGAACATGTCACTGCTTTTGTCGCCTGGTATACACATTTCTACCGTATCTTTTTCTGTTTCTTTTTAGCGCCTTATTTTTCGGGACCTCCGTTGCTCCTTGCACCCTCGAAGTCGTCTTCGCTCAGATTATTATCATCTCGGAGGACTGCCGGCGGATCTACATAACACACAGGTAGGGAAACGAATCTCTACAAGGGTCTCGGTAACGCTTGAGGGTTCTAAAGGATTCTCTCACTGACGGAAGTGCGTATATGCAAATTTGCAAAAGATTTAATTAAACCTGGTCTCGGGAGGGGAATTCGCGTCTGCCTCGTTCCTCGCAGCCAAGTCGTACGTACGTACGTACGTATGTACGTATATGATGAAGGCGCGTTTCACCTCCAGTACATCGAGTTAAGTTTATCACCGTGAATTACATGCGTCAGCATTATAGCGACCTACTTTTAAGAACACGATGCAAATTTGCAGATACCAATTTCAGCTATACAGTTGTGGCTTCACGAATTTAGGTGTTGATACTAGATCTGTTCTTTTTCGTTGAACTAATGTACACTTTCGAGGACTTGAAGAGAAACAGATATACATTTGAAACTCGCTGGAAAAAGAAAGAAAACAGAGTCAGTGCGCAAGGTGGCGCACGGAGTATATAGCGAAAAGGAACAGACTAATTATCCGCGCCTTCGCCCTGCTTCGATATCGAAGATTCTGGTACAAACGGAACAAAAGAATTGAACGATTCGTGTAACGACGAAGAGTCAAGAGAAAAAAACAAGAGGGTCACGAATGAATTTTTGGACATATGGCGATTACAACGAAGCCTACTCTTTTTCTTTTGTTCATTAACACGTTGAATATCGTGGGAGTCACCGATGACCGACGATGTCGAGATTGGAAAGAGCATTTGATTCAGACAGATGGTAATATTTTGTAAAATTTCCAATATTGTCGTCGTCATCATACGTGATGACGTGAAGAAACTAATGCATTATGTAGTATATTTAAATAGTTTTATTTGTAACTATGTACGTGTTATATATGCGCATATTGCGATGTGTTTTATTAAAACACGGGAGGGGAAGCAGGCAAAAAGAAAGATGAACCAGTAAAATCTTCAAAGAATGTAAATAAATACAGGTAACGAAATGCAAATCAATGCAGCGTGTGGGAATGTAATGGATATCGCGCATTACTCACTCGTTGGACAGACCCGACAACAGTGAGAGAAATAATTAAACTGTGAGAGAAACGAGACTGAAGCAAATGAAATAGCTGACTTTGGTAAAAGATAAGTGAAATACGAGCGTGAGATCGATCGAACGCATCACCGGTGACGTCCACTAAGTAAATGCATAAATTTGGTCTTATATATTTTATTATAATATACACCGCGTAACAAGAAATTCATTCCGACATCGTAGGTAGGCAAGTTACACAAAAACATATTATTTATTTGCTTATTTGCGAATGCGAATGTGAGGTAAGTACGTAGTAAAATATCACGTCTTTACGAGGAAGAGAAAAATTGTTTTCCGAGAATCAAATTTTTATATTACAAGTCCCGGATACGACTTGGAGCTGTGATGCAAGGGAAATTGTTGAAAAGTGAACACTGTTAAACACCATATTTTACATTTTAGTCACAAACTATAAACTTGTCCCTGTTTGATTACTATTTTAGGGCGAAAGTTCTTTTATCTGTAAATAATACAAGAGATTTGGAGTGGGGGGGGGGGTTTATTCAGCTATGATGTGTCGCTCTCGAATTATTTCGAATTCAAGCCGGCGTGTCACCAGCGAACAAGGTTTCATTTAATTAAATTTGGGGAAGGGGATAAAGAGTATTTTTCAAGCGTGCAAAGATGCACCGCGATTATCCCGCGTCTTTCTCCGTTAAAAGCTAGCGTACGCTTCTTAGAGTGCGATGGGTAATCGAATTGACTTAAAAAAATCGCCGAAGGTCCAACACACTCTCGTCCAGCGGGGTTTGACGCGGAATTACGAAGCGGTCCGTTTAAAGCGGCGTACTTTTCTCATTCGATAACCGAGCCACCGCACCGGCTAGTGTTTATCGCTGTTGCACACAGCGAGGTAGAGGACGACGAGCGACCTGATGGACACACGGTGGTTCGTCGGGAGGGTCGGGGGCGGCGCGACTCGTCGTTTATACGCGGTGCCGGCATAATGGAGTAGAGTGGAGTAGAGCACGGATAATGGAGTATGAAGAATAGCGTGTGGTGAATGTCGGGATAGTCCCTCTCGCCCTTCCGTCCCCCGCGGCGGCGCGGTGCCCCCTCGCCGTTGCCCCCGCGTGAGGACTCGCGTCCACCGAGGTTTCCTCTCTCTCTCTCTCTCTCCCCCTCCCCTCTCTCTCTCTCTCTCTCTCTCTCTCTCTCTCTCTCTCTCTCTCTCTCTGTTCCTCTACTGAGAGCTAGCAAACTGGACACGGCTCGTTGGCTCGAGCAGTTGGCCATACCAATTTATCGTCCCCGCAGCCAGGCCGCGTTACCGATTCCCGAGTTAAATCCAGGATTTTGTCGGCGTTGCTCTCCGACTGGCCGCACTCGTCTCTCCGTTTCGATTCTCTCGCGCGCTTTTTTTTCTCTCCTTTCGTTATCTGCACGCCGACCGGCGTGGCGTTCCTCGAGGAGCGACAACGATGACGACAGCGCGCGGAGGCGGCAGCGGCGGCGGCGGCAGCATGCGATGTATCGTTCCGCGAACAAAGAGCAATGGATGCCGCCGGGTCGGTTCGATGGCGGCAGATCTCTAATGTCGAACGCTTTTGTCGCAACATGCAACTCTGCGCACTTCCTACTTAATGAAGAACAATAATTATTCGCTGTAATGTAATTTACGGCGCGGTCTGGCCCGGCCTCTCGCCGGACAAAAGAAGTTAAAGGTCGGGGAGGAGCCGGCGTGGGGGTGGCGGTCCGGACGTGCTGTAAATTTTGCGCGGCGCGCTGCAGTTTATGAGGAATTCCTTTGAGCCATATAACTTGGAGCCGACCGACCGACCGACCGACCGAACGAGCGAGCGAGCGAGCGAACGAACGAACGAACGAACGAACGAACGAACGAGCGAACGAACGAACGAACGAGCGAGCGAGCGCGCGATCGATCGATCGTGACATTCGATTTTAATTTTCCTAGCTCCGCAAGGGAAAGGTTCGTTGAATATTCTACATTAATATTCTACGTTATTAATATAAATAACAGCGAGTACACACGCGCGTACAGGGTGCTACGGTTTCTGAAGTGCAGCCGAGTCGACACGTTCTGGTTCTGCATTAACATTATATGCAAATTCCATCGGACTTGAAGGACCGATGGAGAATCTCGAGATATAGCGTTATACAGGCTGTGTTGTCCTTTGATGCTACAAATGGCCACTCAACTGGCGTTTTCTCCGCGTTGAGGGGCGCAAAGAAGGACTTGTTTCAGCGTTATTTAATATTCGATTATCGATATTCCACCTGCGTTTAATCTTTGTTCGCGATTTCAATGAGCGTTGCATTAATTATGCAGTTTATACTGATGCTGCGGATAGAGTACGCGCGATAAGCATATATTAAATAATTAATAAACAATAATGAGTAAGCAAATAATGGAATTAATGAATATATATATATATATACCGTCGATAAAAAGAAGACGACAGATTACGAGAAAGAAAAAATTATTTTTCTTTGTGTGTGTGTAATATATATACACACACAAAGAAAAATAATTTTTTCTTTCTCGTAATCTGTCGTCTTCTTTTTATCGACGGTTAGAATTTCAACGAAAATCAACGTGGCGGCTAACGTGTTAAGACGATCATGCGACAAACGTAGAGGCGCCGATTTCACCGATTTCCAATTCGAGAGATATAAACCGGGGACAAAGAAACACGAACAAAAAATGCCCCAGAGCCCCACATACCGGTCGGATCGAAATGTGCCGTATACACGCATGCACGCACACCTACCACATCTTTTCTACGCATAGAGCGCACGTGGCGTTCCCCGTAAACGTTCTCTCTGGTCGGCGGCGAGGGGGTGGTTTTGGAGGTGGCAGCGAGGGAATCGCGGTGACGGGACGACGGAGGGGAATGGTCGTTACACGCACCGGTCACTGCCACCCCCGTGGCTATCGCCGGCACGACCCCCCATGCAAAATCACCCTTTGTCGCGCTCGATGGGAAATTACTTTTTGTCCGTCGATTACGGGGTGAATTTTCGGACGACGAGACCCGATTATTTCGAACGAGATACGACTCCGGTTCGAGACTCGTATCGTCGAGAAAGGGGAATCGCGCGAAGGGCGCAGCAAGGCGATCTACTACCACCGTATAACGAGCCACATTCGGCTAAGTTATAATTAATCGGTCAGCGACTAATCGTTACCCTCGTTTTACCTTCTCCTGCAACAGTGGTTGGGGTGAACCAGACAGGGTTTCTTTTTTTTTTTTAATCTCATCGCGTCATCGGGATATGTTGTTTGGAAGTTGTTCGGAACACGATAGGCGTATGATTTGACTGGTTAGGAA